GCTAGATTAGGAGGAAGAAAGAGAGAGAGGGGATATGCTACACAATTTTAAACAACCAGATCTTATGAGAACTGTATCATAAGAACAGCGCTAGGGGGATGGCGCTAAGCCATTCATAAGAAACTGCTCCCATGATCCAATTACCTCCTACCAGGTCCCACCTCCAACACTGGGGATTATAATTTGATATGAGATTTGGGCAAAGACACAGATCCAAACCATATCAACAACATACCAAAGCCAGTGGGATACAGCAAAAGCAATACTAAGAAGGAAGTAAATAGCAATGAACATCAACAAAAAAGTGGAAAGATTTCAAATAACCTAAGAATGTACCTTAAGGAACTAGAAAAGCAAAAACACATGAAACCCAAAATTAGTAGAAGGAAAGCAATAATAAAGATCCAGCAGAACTAAATGAAATGCAGACTAAAAAAAAAAACACAAAGGATCAATAAAATGAAAAGTTGATTCTTCAAAATTTATAAATCACTAGACTAGACTAACTGAAAAAAGAAGAGAGAAGACCCAAATAAACAAAATCAGAGATGAAAAAGGAGACATTACAACTGATACCACAGAAATACGAAAGATTATCGGAAACTATTAGGAACAATTACATGCTAACAAATGGAAAAACCTAGAGGAAATGTGAAAATTCCTGGAAACATCAGTCTACCAAGATTAAATCAGGAAGAAATAGCAAACCTGAGCAGACCAATAACAAATAGCAAGATTAAATCATCAGTAATAAAAAGCCCCCAGTAAATAATAGCCCAGAACCAGATGGATTGCTGCTGAATTCTACCAAACATATGAAGAAGAAATATTAGTAATCTTCCTCAAACTACTCCAAAAAATTCAAGAGGACAGAATTCTCTCCGACTCATTCCATGAGACCAGCATTACCCTAATGCCAAAACCAGATAAGGACACAATAAAAACAGAAAACCATAGACCAATATCTCTGATGAACATACACACAAAAATCCTCAAAAAATACTAGCAAATAGAATTCAACAGTGCGTCACAAAGATAATACACCATGATTAAGTGTAATATCAACCATGCAAGGATAGTTTAACATATACAAATCAGTAAAAGTAATACATCAACAGGATGAAGGACAGAAACTATGTGATCGTCTCAATAGATGTAGAAAAAGTATTTGATAAAATACAACACCTTTCACAATAAAACCTCTCAACAAACTAGGCACAGATGGAACATACTTCAAATTAATGAAGTCCATATGTGACAAACCCATAGTTAACATCATACCGACTGGGTAAAGTGGAAAGCCTTTTCTCTAAGAAGTAGAGCAAGACAAGGATGCCGACCTTCACCAGTCTTATTCAACATAGTATTGGAAGTCCTGGCCAAAGCAATCAGGCAAGAGAAGAAACAAATGGCACACACATTGAAATAGAGGAAGTCAAATTGTCCCTCTTTGCAGTTGACATTATCTTATATTTAGAAATACCAAAAGACTCCACAAAAAAACCTCTTAGAGCTTATAAACAAATTCAGTAAAGTTTCAGGATGCAATATCAACATATAAAAATCAATAGCATTTTTGTACACCAGTAGTGAAATAGCTGAAAAAAAAAATCAAGAAAGCAATCCCATTTACAACAGCTACAAAAAAATACATAGGAATAAATTTAACCAAGGAGGTGAAAGATCTCTACAAGGAAAACTGCAGAATGCTGATGAAAGTAATTGAAAAGAACACAAATAAATGGAGAGATATCTCATGCTCAAGGATCAGAAAAAACAATAGTGTTAAAATGACCATAATGCCAAAAGCAACATACACAGTAAATGCAATCCCTATTAAATGTCAATATCATTTTTCACAAATATTTAAAAAATCCTAAAATTAATATGGAACAACAACAACAAAAAAGCCAGAATAGCCACAGCAATCCTGAGCAAAATGAACAAAGCTGGAGGCATCAAACTACCTGACAAAATTATATCACAAATTTATAGTAACCAAAACAGCATGGTATAAAAATAGACACATAGACCATGGGAAACAGAATAGACAACTAAAAATTAAATCCACATATTTATTACCAACTGATTTTTGACAAAGGAGCCAAGAACATATTCAGGCGAAAGGACTTCAATAAATTGTACAGGGAAAATTGGATATCCATATGCAGAAGAATAAAACTGGACTCTTTTCTCTCACTGTATATAAAAATCAACTCGAGGTGGACTAAGAACTTAAACATAAGATCCCAAAGTATAAAACTATTAGAAGAAAACAGGGAAAGCACTTACGGACATCAGTCTAGGCAAAGATTTTATGGGTAAGATCTCAAAAGCACAGACAACTAAAATAAAAACGGACAAATGTTACTATATTAAAATAAAAATCTCTGTACAGGAAAGGAAACCATCAAGAATGAAGAGACAGCCATTGAATGGGAGAAGATATTTGCAAATTATTCATCCAACAAAAGGCTAATATCCAGAATATACATGAAATTGAACAACTCAACAATAAGAAAGCAAAATCTCATTAAGAAGTGGTCAAAGAACACGAACAGATGATTCTCAAAAGAAGACATATAAATGGCCAACTGGTATATAAAAAATACTCAGCATCACTAATCATCAAATAAATGCAAATTGAAACCACAATGAGATATTTTCTTATGCCAGTTAGAATAGCTATTACTAAAAAGACAAAACAAAAACAAAAACAGATGCTGACAAGGACATGTGGAAGACGGAACTCATCTACACTGTTGGAGAAAATGTAAATTAGTACAACTCCTATGGGAAACAGTATGGATATTTCTCAAAAATCTAAAAATGATAAATGTAATCCAGTAATCCTACTATTGGGTATCCAAAGAAAAGGAAATCAGTATACTAAAGGGATACCTGCACTCACATGCTTACCATAACTAACACTATTTGCAATAGCAAAGATATACAATCAACTTGTGTCCATCAATAGAAGAATAGATAAAGAAAATGTGCTATATATACACAACAGAATACTACTCAGCCACAAAAAGAATAAAATCATGTCATTTGCAGCAACATGGATGAAACTGGAGGCCATTATGTTAAGCAAAATAACTCAGGCACAGAAAGACGAATATCATATGTTCTCACTCGTATGTGGGAGATAAAAACATTGATATCATAAAGGTAGAGAGCTGACATTATAAAGGTACTAGAGGATGGGAAGGTGGGTGGATAAAGATGGGAAGGAGAGGGGATAAAGAGAGGTAGGTTAATGGGTATAAACATATAGTTAGATAAAAGATAGAAGTTCAGTCATTTGACAGCCCAGTTACTCTAGTTAACAACAGTGTATTGTATATTTCAACGTAGCCAGAAGAGAGGACTTGAATTGTTTCCAACATATAGAAGTGACAGTACTCAAAGTGATGGACACCTCAAAAAGCCTGACTTGATCATTACACATTCTAGTCATATAACAGAATACCACATGTACCTCATAAATATGTAAACTAATATGTATCAATTAAAAGAAGAGAAACATAGAAGAGAAAAAGGGTAAACGAATAGGTTGTCTGACATTAAACTGTATAATATTTTCAGAGTCCACCACGTGTAAACTCCATTAGAGTTGGAACCTCCTTGGTGTATTCACATTAGTGTGCCAGTGCCTATAATAGGGTACAGGTAATGTAGGCAATTAATAAGTAGTTGTGCAATGTTGAGTGAGTACCATTTCTCTTGATGAGTGACAAAAAGGTAAGAGATTTTCAACTGAGTGATTTTTTAAAATAGAAAGTTTCCTTATTTGGTCAAATAGCTATTCAGTGTTTTCCATCCTTAATTGTTGGCCTGCAGTTGCGGGCCTCAACTCTGCAGCCATTCTTTGTGTGCCAAAGTAGTGCTCTGAAAATCTTCATTAATTGTTATTATGTTTTTTACTATTCTCTGGTATTCCTGCTAATCAATGATTATGATGACAATAGCTAAAAGTGCCTAACTTTTAGGGAGAATGCCAAGAAATCTTAGTATGACAGGGGATCACATTTTATCTAAAAGTATTTTTAGAGGGCTTGGGAAATTCTTCGTCGATAAAGAAAGAAAGGTAAGAGAAAAAACAAGATTAAACGTAGACACAGAAACATAAAAGTAGAATGATAATTTTAGGGTTGGAAGGAGGCATGAAGAGCACATTCCATAGCAACAGCAGCTGATGCTGCCTGTGTCCTTAGAGATTATCCAGGCCTTTGTTTGACAGATGAGAAAATATACATGACAGTGAAACCGGAACTCAGAGTTTAAGTGATCTACCTAAGTTTACAAAATTAGCTTGTCTCAAAACTGAAATGAGAATTAGAATATCCTCTTCTCCTTAAGGAAAAATCCATTTGCAACACCTTCCACCCAGCTTTACCTTTCCACATTACACTGTACCAGTGAAATGTCTTTCTCATAGGTAAGCTCTCATGACACAAAGTGTTCATCCAGGAGGAAGGAGCACTTTGAGTTGAGGAGGGTCTTAATTTATCAGGAAAGAGTTAGACTATTGCTGGAATGAAATGAAAGCAGTGTTGAAAAAAAAATGTTAGTAAGAAAAAATTCAGCTACAGTCTATTTTAAACAAAGCATTAAATAATAGATCTGTGTTTAAAATAAAATACATGTTTTCTGTGATAGAAATACATGTGGGCTATGTATGCTTGTAGTGAAAAAGAGGCCACAATGTCTTCTCAAGGGACTTCAGGCATTGTTTTATAAGGCAAAATCTAAATAAATATATTAATGAAAAGCATTCATATCCTCTGCACTTGGAGGTTGTTTCATTATACATATAGGGCTGTTATAGTACTCTTTTAAAGAAGGATTGCAAGATTAACCATATGCAACTTAAAAAATATATATGAGTTTATTTTTTTAAATGATTTAGATATTAATACAAGTCAACAGTTTATATATCCTAGTCTCATGACAGAATCTTGAAATCTAAATGTGTTTTTTGAGACTTTACTCACCCAACACACTTCTGGATTTGTGGTCGTCTGGGATAGTCTTCTGAGGACAACATTTTTTCATGAATAGCAAACAAACCTCCAATTATGATATGTCCCGGAGAAGTGGCAGCCACAAAGTCATCAGGGGTCTGGCAAGGCTGTGAAGTAGCAAGAATAATCATAAAGCAGGTAATTAGTATAATTAATAATGCCATGTTTCCATCTCATTTGCTCAGTTCATGTGAGTTCTTAAGTGCATGGAGTGCCAACAAGATTCCTATTTCACCTGTAAACACCTTATAAGGTATAGGACAGTGTCAAGGGCCAGAAACACTCAGTATTCAGATACTTGATGATAGTCAAAACAGTTATTTCACCAATAAGAACATAGACTTTTTAACACTCCAGTGTTAGAGATAATGTGATAGCAGTCATGTGATGTAAAAGCTGATAGAATTATAAACACAAGTCTCACTGTAATGGTACTTTTTCACTCTAGTGATATGTCAAGGGCCCTGAGTAACGTTGGCATTTCTTTTGAAGCAGAATGTAGAACTTTCAAGAAGAAGCAGTTTGGAAAAGTTTTTCCACTTTAGAAATAGACAGTTCTACATTTCAAAAAGGTATCACATTCAAGGCACAAATAATTCAATATAGTTTATCAGGTGTTTAGAAAAAAAATCCTGCCTTTCTTTTTCCTGAAAAGCTCTATTTAAAAAATGAAATTCAGTTAAATTTGGGTATTTGTCACTCCCACATTAGGTATTTGTCATTTCCAGTTTCCCTGTGTTAGAAATACATAGCTTTTGTGAAGATGGGTAAAACTAAAAACAGGATGAAACTTGTCTGATACAGTATTTTGCTTTGAACAAGAAAGGTCTGTTCATAGATCATTGCCATTTCCACTATTGTGGATGCTATATTTTAATAAATTTGGGACTAATTTCAGGCTATATATTCTTAAATATTTAGGAATCTGAACTAACATAATTTGATGGGTGTCTTTTGGAATTTAACAGAGGATAGAGAAACCTCAATGATGTAGTCACCATTAAGAAAAAGTTCGAAGTTTTAAAATTTATTTAATAAAATCAGTCTTTTAAAAATATTTTATTAAAAATGAATATCTCATGGGCAAGCAGTTTCAAATCCAATACATTCAGTTTGTTTGATGAGTAGCAGATACATTTAAAGAAATTTCAAAAAAATGAAAGAGTGCACTGGCCACTGTGGCATTTTTTCATTATCTAAATTAGGCTTAGATTCCATGGTCCAGTAGGGTTATACCAGCTGAGGAGTGGAGAAGTCACAGCTCATCATGCAGCTTCAAATGTTTTCTTAAGTCTTAGCATTTTTACTAATGGCAGGATTTTCTATTAGAATGAAAACCAGTTAACTTCAGTTGCCCAGAAAGTTTAACAAGCATACATGAGTCTGAAGCCTCTTGAAATGTTTAGTAATTACATTTTACTCATCTTAATCTTATTACTTATCGGTGTATGTGTGTGTTTGGTGTCGGATGGATTTATATTTTCATGAATTTAGTTATTTTGCTCGGATAACCTCAAAGGTCTTATGTAATTACAAGTTCAAAAATGATTTCAGGAAAACTAAACTAAAAAATGAGAAATCCAGATAATTCCCAGCAAAATTATAGTAAGTATTAAGCAACTCAGAGTGATTCTGAAGATGCATTGTTCAGATGACATTTATTTGAAAAATCAATGACAAAAGTTATGCCAATAATGTCTTTTAGGTTGCAATTTCAACAATATTTAGGGTCTTTGTAATCTGATGAAACGTAAAGATAAGGCACTTTTTAAATTTTAATAAATATAATCTAAGTTTGAAGAACTATGTCTTTAAAGGAGCCTCCAAAGGTAGGAAAACAAAACATCTAAAAAGACTTTTGCGCTGTAAAATGAAGTATCACGTGGCAGAAAGGGCCCAAACTTTGGAATCAGATAGACCTGGGTTGCTCTGCCCACTACTTAGCTATGTGACACTGAATGAGTTACGTAACTTCTCTGAAAAATAATTTTCTCATCTATAAAACAGTTGAGGTACTCTATCTAACAAATATGTTGTGAGACAAGCTGGTTTGATTTGCACGGCTCCTGTATTCTAGCACGCACTGAATAATTAGTTCATTTCCCTTCTTTCCCTTGCCAAAACTAAACTGAAAGTTATCATTTCCTAAATTTGTAGAGGTTTCTTTCTTTCTTTTTTTTTTTGAGATGGAGTTTCGCTCTTGTTGCCCAGGCTGGAGTGTAATGGCACGATCTCGGCTCACTGCAACTCCACCTCCTGGGTTCAAGCGATTTTCCTGCCTCACCCTCCCGAGTAGCTGAGATTACAAGCGTGTTCCACCACGCCTGGCTAATTTTTTGTATTTTTAGTAGAGACAGGGTTTCACCATGTTGACTGGGCTGGTCTCGAACTCCTGACCTCAGGTGATCCACCCGTCTCGGCCTCCCAGAGTGCTGGGATTACAGGCATTAGCCACTGCACCCAGTCAAATTTGTAGTGCTTTCTACAGCTGGCTAAACCATTGTTCAAAGATTTTTCTCAAGCATTAAATGCATGGTAGAAATGACTTTTGTAAGAGTACTACTAGCTGGTTGTTGTCACATTGGAATGCAAATCCATTGTTAAGTTAAACTTGAAGGAAGATATAGAATATGTTAATTACTTTAGAATTCCACTGGAAACATTATCGTCACTCTTGTAGTTTCTATTATTGGGAATAGAACTTTTAGCCATAATTTAGCATGTACAGTTACTATATTTTTTTCTATTTAAAAAATCATTATAAATGACAACAATATCTACTTCTATTCCAAAAGATTTTGATTTTTATCTTAAGTAACTATTTCTGGAGGGTAAAACCTCTTAAAAAATTTTGAGATATGAATTACTGACAGGACTAGCTTATTGCTCCTTTTGATCTCAAGAGTCTATATTTCTTTGTAACTAGCCTTACCTGGAGGGCTATCTGGTTAAAATAACTTAGAGGGAAGTAAGAAAGTATCACTCCCCAAGTAATTATTATAAAGATACCATTATCCTGGTTGAACAAGCCTAGTAGGAAAATACCGTCAATGATTAAAGATACTTTATTCTAAAATGGTGAGATCGTAGCACTGAAGATGGGGTGGCTTCCCAGTGATGAAAGGCTGCATGAAGATGGGATCAGGCTGGAAATGATACTCTGGGAGCAGGGGCAGGGAATACCACATTCGCACTCAAGAAAGACCTCAAGAGGGTGAGGTTTGACACATGTCTTATTTTATTTTAACATTTATTTTTCCCTCCTGTTATTCCAGCTTCCCACTCACCCTCCTCAATTGCACACCTGTCTTTCATACTTCATTGAGTTTCAACTTAACAATGACACTACAAAATTATTTTCAGTGCTATTTGCATCTGCAATAAGATTTTTAAAACAGAAACGTCTTCAAGATTAAAGGAATCCATTTATAACAATGGCATTTCAGTTGTCTGCAAGAGGGGGTCGAGGGAGGTAGAGCGTGGCAGGGGCTCACGGGGGATCTTTAGTCCACACTAGGCAGGCAGCTGACTATGCCGCTGCACATGGAGTCAGCCTGATGGAACAGGTCAGTGTGTGGCCTCTGGAAGGGAAGAAGCCGACACCAATATTATGAGGGTAGATGCCAATATCTACAGCCTAAGGGGAAAATAAACAGAACTTAAGAATGACTTCTGACTCATCATTCCATATTGTCAAACTGCTTCAGTTTCCTCTTGTTTTTCAGGGCAGCATGAACAAAAATATATTTAGCCAAAACAAGCAGGTATTCAAAACACAATTTTCTAATTCTGTTTTATTTCATCAACATTAAATTTGAATGCATTTTTTTCTGCTTGTGGTGTGCCTGTCTTTCTCAATAATTCCTTATCAAGAAGTCGCAACAGGAGAGATTTTGCCCTTAAAAACACAACCATAAGCACTAAGCCATGAATCCCACAATTAGGCACGTTCAGCTGGCATCTCTTGTGCTACTAGCTTACAAGCTTATTTAATCCTCCCATTATTTTCTAATTGTTCACGTGCTTACTATTACCTCTTCAACTAGATTGAAGCTTTTTGAAGATTGAGATAAAAGTTTTATACTTCTTTGTGTATCTCATAGTTCAAATGGCAGGCTTTTTTATTAGGACAACTTTGGTTGTCCAGAGAGTTTAACAAACATATATGAGTTTGAAGACTCTTTAAATGTCTTGCAATTACATGTTATTTATTATAATGTTATTATTTACTTGTGTATGTATGCATTTAATTACATTACAAATATATTGATCAGTTTGCTCATCTTAACAGATCATCAATGAGCTCATAGTAGATAGATGAGCCCCAGAAAATGAATCCAAGCTATAGCTCTCACTAGATATGATCAGCAACTTTTACAGTCTATTGCTATTATCATTTACCCAAGAAAATAAAAATATCAATTCATATTGCTTAATAAGTATTGAATGCTAGAGGGATATCACTGCACCTTAAATGAAGAGTTCAATAAAACCTCTTCTAGAGGTAAAATTACAAGCAAAAGCCTAAATCCCCACTGGGCCCCACTGGATGCATAGCTAAGAAAGTTATTTCATTTAGCTGAATTTCAAATATGTAAAAAAGAGAAAGATTGGTCCTTAACAAGGTCATAAAATAACCAAGTCAGATTTTGGTTCTCTTGTATCTTCCCTCACCAGGTGCCCTGTTTCCCTGTACTTGCCCAGTGGCTTATTATTCCATCACTGCACTATTTAATATTGAACTATCACTGATCACTGCAACACTCTACTTCATCCTGCTCCATTTTCTTCTCCTGCTGTACCTGGTCTGTAATTGAAATCCCTCCTAGCATTTCTTATTTAATATGTAGTTTTAACATTAGGTAATTAATTTTCTTTAATGGGCAACATACAGCATTTTATCTTACTTAGGGTACCCTAGGAGGTCTATGGATGGACTTCATGAGAGTCTGTGAATCTTTTGAAATTGTATAAAAGTTTTGAGTGAATATGCATATGTAGATTTTTCTGGGGAGAACATTCAGTGCTGTCATCAGATTATCCAAGGGACATTTAGCCCCAGAAATGTGAAGAACCACTGTCTGTTTTATTAGAACACTGTCAAATCTATTAGAACAGATTTGAAGCCTGCTTTCCAGGAAACACAGGAATGTTTTCTGAGATAATGATCCTGCCTTTGTTGTTACCTGTTTGTAACTTGAATGATCCTCACTAATCTCCCACCAAAAACTTCATGTGCCTGATACACATCACCATTTAATA